CGATAACATGGCCGAAAACGAGCGGATCGAATCGGAGCGGCGGGCCTCTGAGGCCCGCCGCTCGTCGGGCCTGTACGTGGACGACAGTTGGCGGACGGCGTGCAGCTCGGACCGCTTCTCGGATGCCGAAGCCGCGAACGAGCTGAGGATGATTGACGAGTGCGCCGCACCCCCTCAAGCGCCCCCGCTCACGCTCCCCCCTCACTCTCCTCTCTCCCTCGCCCTCGTGCAGGCTCCAAAAGGATCGCTCGAGAGCGATCACCACTCCCGATAAAGGCCCGAGTGAAGCCAATGTGGGCGCGCTCGACCGGGCGCGCGCCACGGCAGCTCAAGGACATTCGTCAGGAATATCCCGGATCTGAAGAGACGCGTTTCCGCTTCCGCCCTGTTCCTGACTTTAGTCGAAGCATGTAGCAGCCAGACAGCTCCCCAAACTCTAGACTTGAGTTGTGTCCGACTTGTGTGATGCCTCCATGCGTTTTCCTGCGACCCGCGTCCGATGACGACGACGCCCTATACCGAACCCTCTTACTACGGCGAAGAGAGACGGAGGAACGTTTGGCTGCCAGACATATATGCGGGCCTCGAATGCGTGCCACGCTGCACGCACGCAGCTCAGCCGCCTGTGCTGATGGCGGCGGCGCGCCATCAGACACGATGTTCACGACCCAGCCAGCACGCAGCGGGAAGCTGGCGGTGGACACGGGCTCGACTTCCTTCTATCACGTCGCGGACACCCACCGGAAGCACTGTTTCGCGCGACGACCCGCCTCCCTGCCCGTCGACCGGGCGTTTGAGTCCGAGTAGATCGCGGGGGCGCTAGTCGCCATTCTCCTCCGTCAACTTTCCAATGCACGGGTCGATCTTGGCCCACTTGTTGCCGGTGCTCAAGTTGCGCGCGAGGAGCGCGGGGATGTGCACAAAGAGGTGCGCGATGAAGGGCAGCGGATCCGCCACGTCAAAGTAGGCGTCCTTCTTCGTCGCCACCGTCGACAGGAGCGCGCC